GGACACGAACCATGGTCGACTACATGGGAGTCCAGCGACATAGCCATTATGCTAACTGCTGGTTCCCTTTTTTAAATTTAATTTTAATTTTTTTTCCATTACTGAGGAAATTCTAAAATCATCATACAAATTTTGGTAAATTCTGGACAAGTTAAATATAATTTCTTACAAATTGAAAAAAAAAAGGTTCAAAGGAATTATAGAAATTATTCCTCCTCAAGAAAACAAAAATAAACAAAACACAACAAAAACAAAAAATCACAATCATTGGAACTATCTCACTTACAGTCCATGAAAATAAAGACTATCTTGGACTAGTAGGTGGCATGGAAGTTATGAAGCTGGATCCTACATGGTTGGCTACATGGTTGTAATCACAGATCCAATAGCTTGAAAATCACTCTAGGCATGCGTGCATGCATGCCCAAAATCCCAAAAGGAGACCGGAGGAGAAGGTGTGTGGCATGGCCACTCACACCTTATCCTGGGAGGTGGTGATTTCTCACTTTCTCTCTCTCTACCACTCTCTTCCTCTTTCTCTCTGACTCTAAGGTGAATGTACATGTCCAATAATAAAAATGCCAATAAATAAATAAAATAATGAACATCTTTTCACACAACTTTTTTCTTTGAAATTGTGATGATTTCAGTAGAGATCAAATACAATCTTTTAGTCTTTTCGAGGTCAGCCATTGTTATACAGTTGTTAGAGTACAATTACATGATACTGGAGCCATATTGGAAATTTCTAGGTCCAGATCCTGGCTTAAACTGAACATATTGGGTGCTACCCCAGGGCACCCTGGGATTCTGTTTTGCTGGAATTGGGGTGAGGAGGAATGCAGATGATGGCATGATGAGCTCTTATAGAGGTTCCTCTCTCAATAAACAAAATACTGTTTTTAAAAGTTATTTGGAGAGTTGAGGTACAACAACTACCAAAAATCTATGGAGTGTGGGCATTTCAGTAAGTCTCTTTTATCAATTTGACTGGTTCATTCAAGAGAACCTTTTCTCTTCAGCTTCTTTTGTTAATGTAACATTTTATCCAACACTTTAAGGTTGATATTACCCAGGACTAGTCTATTCTCTTTATCATCACATTCAATATTATCTCATCATCTGTCTTTATCCATACCAATGGCTTTACTATTGTCTATAAGTCAGTATCTCCAAATGTATATGACTAGCCCAAACCTCTCCTTGGAGTTTGAGAAATACATATACAAATATTTAACTTACCATTTTAATTTGGATTTCAGAGGTACTAATAGATCCATATGTTCAAATAAAATTTCATGATATCTTAAAGCTGGTTTATATTCTGTGTTTCCCACCTCACTCAATTGCTTCATTGTTCATTCATTTAGATATGCTGGAAACCGAAATCATTCTTGTCACCTCTCTCTCATCATGCCAAAGTCTTGGAATTGCTAAGTATTTTCAGCTTTGCCACCTAAATGTCCCCTAAGGTTATAGCATTCTCTACATCTTCACTGCCACTATTCTAGTCCTCACAATAATTACCTATTAATTGGGCTCTTCATGGCCTTGCAGCAGGTTTTCAGCATCATCTCTTGCCCTTTTCTGTTCTATTCTTTCCACTGTTGCCAGAGCAATCAATTTAAATGTAAAAATGAATGTGTCACCTATCAATTTTCCCCTGCACAGAAAATACAGCACACACACACACACACAATCTTAAAAAACTTTAATCGCATCTTACAGGATAAAGATAAAAACACCTCCAGCTCTGAGGTACTGGCATACCACAACTTATGCCTACTTTTCAGGCTCCATTGTACCAGATGCTGGACACAATATGGAAACCACAGTTTCAGTCCCCAACCAGTCATCTTGAAATGCGTTGGGTGCAGATGTGAGTACCCAGGAGTTGATAGGGTAGAGAGGAGTGGGGATTGCAGCATTATCAGACCCTGTGAAGACTCTCCTGTCTCACCCTCCTGTGCTCCTGCATGATCTCAGTCTTGAATAAAGAAAATAATTATTAAAGAAACACTAAAAAGCTATTGGTCATGAAGTATATATGATATGTTTAAATGAGTCTAAGCTATTGGTCATGAAGTATATATAATATGCATAAATGAGTCTATGTATCTTTAGAGGAATTTAGTATATAATTAAATCCAGATTTATTCAGCCAATGTATTAATTTGTTAGACATGTGTCATTTATAAGCATGTTTTCTTTTTTAATTCTTATACCCAAAGTTTTCAAATGGACTGAATATTTCAGTTCTAAAAATTTTCAGTATAGTAGCATAAAAATAAGTTAGTAGTTTAATAATCTTGAAATGAAAATGAAAACAAATATACGAATAATAACATAAGATGCCAAAAGATCAGATTCTAAAATATATTTAAAATCTATATCCTAAAACTCTCAATGAGTATGCCTAAAAGCACATTCAAATTTAAAAATATTTTGTAATAAATGTAAATGAAATACTATGTTTTGCAAAGAAATCAAGAAAAATAACAAAAATATGCAAAGTCCTATATTGACAAAATCCATAATGTAAAAGTCAACAAATAAACCCATGGATGATATTTAATATCATTTGGAATAAAAAATGCACCAGAAACAGTACAATATTATATTCTGCCTATGAGAATTTAACATATATTAAAATATCTGATAATATTAGGGGCAAAAGAAGATGCAGGGAAACACATGTGTTTTTGGTCTGTTTTCTCCTACATTGTGGAAAGTATAAGGTCATCCTGTCAAATTGGTTTATGCAGAGTTCTTGTAAATGTGAGGAGGTAGTAAAGCCAGAAGTGATTCTGGGGTACAACAAAGAACATTACACATTTGTGTATTCTCTGGGGTCATTTTATATGATGACAAGTAACTTACAACATATATTTTTTAGAAAGTGCAACTAGAGATAACAAAACTGAGTGGAACTTAAACTTCACATGATAGAAACAATTTCACAATATTGGCATATTCATTAGACTACA